CCTGTATTTTTATTAACTCTCCAGCTCCTCTGTGCGGATAGATTAGAGAGGGGTACAGTCAAGTCAGGCAGCAGGCAGGAGGCTGCTACAGTGCAGCGAGGGTGGATGGCGGCCTTGGACTAGAGCGACGGCAGCAGACACTGAGAGAGGCAGACAAGTTCAAGACATAGTTGGAATTAGAACAGTTAAGGCTAGCTGATGAAACAGAAGAATTGTGGGAAAGAGCAAGGAAAAGGAGGATTCAAAAATAACTCCCAGGCTCCTGTGCTCATGAAATGAAAGCAGACATTATAGCGTAAGGGGACCAATAAATGATTAATGCATAAGCAAATAAATAAGACTGTTTTAGATAGAAAATAAGATCAATAGGATAGAGAGAGATTGGGATAACACGCACAGGTGATAGGGGATGAGAGAAGGCATATGTTTTAAACAGGTGACCAAGAAGGGACTTTCTGAGAAGTTGCATTTGAGTTGAGACCTAAACGAGGTCTCCAGAATGGAGGACATGATCATCTTCTACACTACTTTGGGACAAAACTCTGAAAATTACAGCAATTCAAAAAATTTCCCTCAGATTTCACTTCAAAATTTACTAGGTAGCCATTCCTGTGCAAGACTATCTTTATTTTAAAAAATCGAAGATTCCTTATTATTGGAATACTCATTCTCTTGTACTTTTCCGATTACAAAGATGTTCATGCAGAATCCTCTACATCCAAGAATGCACCCGGAACAACTTAGAATAGAAGAGATTTTGCCACTACTTTCTAGGATTCTTTAGCAATATTATTTGTCAACTTATTTATCTGGAAAATATTCAAGCTATATATCTGATCCTATTGGATACTGATAGGAAATAGACTATGTTTACTATAGTGGATATCCATGAGGCTTTCTTGGTCTTTGAGAATGTCTTCTAATATTGTAATAGTTTAGTTTTCTATACTGACACTAGAAGAATGATTAAGAGTTAAATGTTTATGGTTAACTACAGAGACATTAATTTTAAAAATTGACCTGCTCAGAGGAATAGGGTGTTCTAACTGTGAAACTGTTAGGAGCTACTATATCTAACTATGTATCTATATATCTATCTACAATATATCTATATATACTATAGCTATATATACTATATCTATATATCTATCTACTCTATCATTGTGGAAAACCCACCAACTGTGGATAGGGGCAGGGCAGAACCGTGGAGTGGATTCATACTTCTTGGATTATCAGGGTGAAAGAAGTATTGACAAAGAAAGTCTTGAGTAAGTGAAAAAGGATCCAGGACACAGAACAAAGGGATCTCTATATCAGTCATCTCCATACTAGGCAATTAAAATAGACTTACGAAAAGAGAAAATAATAGGCATTTTAATAATATGTTCCCGTGAAATCTCTAAACCACAGAAAATAAACAAATTGGCTGACACTGGTGAACAGCAAATGTCTGAAATGATCCAGACCTAAGGGACTCTGAACACCATGAAAGGCTGCTGACATTTTTGCTTGTCTTGCCCATATTTCTTCTCATTAGTTATTTGGAAAAAAACATTCATTAGAAGTTCTAGGCTTCTTCTCTAGGGAAGCGTTTCTCAATCTTGGACCTTTGGATATATTGGACCAAATAATTCTTCTTGTGGGGAGCTGGCCTCTGAATCGTAGGACATTTAGCCTACAAATACACCCCTGGCCTCTGCCCACTAGATGCCAATCCCACCAGCCCCCAAGTTATGACAACCAAAATTGTCTTCAGACATTGATGAATGCCCCTATCGGACGAAATCATTCCTGGTTAAGAACCACTGCTTTAGGGTGATGTGTTCCTATCTACCATAGAATCAAAGAGGCACAAGTTGCTGGATTGTTTATTAGTGAAAGTATTTAAAACATAGGAAAGATCTGGGACAGAAAGATATAAGGCACCAACCCCCAAACTGAGCCATTTTATTTTATTCCGTACCACGTTGCTAATTATATATTAAAACCTTGGGAAACGAGTCTTCTGAGCTACCTCAATTTTCATAATTATTCTTAGACTTGTCCAGGTCCAAGCAATATAGAGATGTTACTAATTGAAATGTGCACAAGTTTCTTGACCATACATACTTAGAAAGGTTCCTTCAAGCTGGACCATCCTCAGATCAGATCAGGCCTTACCTGCTATGGGTAGAAGCTTGGTCTTTATTCTATTGATTGGAAGAGGCAGAATGCAGTCTACAAATCACAAGAAGGGTAGAAGATCACTTCAACCCCATTCTGGATCCCAGATTCTTTTTTCTTACCTTAACTCTGGCAGATTTCTCTCTATACAGGGATTGTCTTAGTCTGTCAGTCAGAGATCAGGGGGCCAGCATGGTCAGGTTTGGTGAGAGCCATCTTCTGGTTGCAGACCGCAATCTTTTCTTTGTGTCCTGACAGGGCAGAAAGAGGACTTGAGAGCTCCTTGGTATCCTTTTATAAGGTCACTAATCCCATTCATGAGGGCTCCACCCTCAGGATCTAATTACCTCTCAAAGACACCGACTTCCTAATGTCATCATATTATGATTTAGGATTTGAGCAGAAGAATTTTGGAGGGACACAAACATTCGGTCCATAACAAGGAACCATCCTATTTAGTGGAGCTATAAGGTCCAATGGTCACAGAAGGGACAAACCATCCCTAGGGGATGAATGTATCTGTGCTAAAACAAGTGTTTTAGGGCACGCACTCAGTGAGGTGATGTGACTATTTCTGGGTTTATACCAGACTTACCTAATAACATGATCTGCTTAATCACAGTTTGTACTATCTCCAAACTCCAGCGAACCATCACCCCTTGAACCCTACTCTATCTCTTAGCCTCTCTCTAGGCATGCTTTAAACTCCTGTTCCCATCTCTAGCTGCCTGATTCTGAGTTTCCCAAATCAAATTCACAAGGAGAGAGAATATGATTGACTTATCCCATCTTTTCAAATAATAGTAATAATAGTAATAACATGCAACAGGATTATGTGTCATGCACCAAAGAGTGTTGTATGTATTAAATCATTTAATCATCACTTCAAACAAATCAAATAGGAATAATCATTAAGCTCATTTTATGGAAGAAGAAAATGAAGATCAAAGTCAAGTGGCAAACTTTGGATTTGGACCCAGACAGTCTGACTCAGCTCCCATGCTCTTAAGCACCTATAATTTGATGGCCATGGGCTAGGTGCCCACCATGGTCCAATTTTGGCTGTGCCTGGGTAGGATGAAGAGTGTGGTCCCTATAGCAGGAACTGAGGGCAGAGTCACATCATTTAAAGTGGTGTGGGCATGAGGTAGGAGACTACATTTGACTTACAGTAGCCATTCAACATAGCAACAAAGGTGACCTTAAATGTGAAGTGAATAATTGGTTAACAAAACTGTATTTTCTGTACCATGAAAGGGGCAAAACCACAAAAAGTAGAGATAAGCTTTCCCTTTAAGGAACAAAATATATCGGGTTATACTGGCTCCACGATTTTGTTGAACAACCTGGATAAGGAAAAACTTCACACATCCTTTTAAATGTTAACATTCTTATTATTAAATTGTTTTTTGAAATCATCTCTCAGTGATTAATGTATACTCTCAAGACCATTTGACAGACAAGTAGAAGTTAGAGAGCTTCTACTTCGAAAATACATCTATTTTTGATTTTTTGAGGAATCTCCATACTGTTTTCCACAGTGGCTGCACCAGTTTGCACTCCCACCAGCAGTGTATGAGAGTTCTACCATATGATCCAGCTATTCCACTGCTGGGTATTTATCCAAAGAACTTGAAAACACCAATTTGTAAAGGTACATGCACCCCTGTGTTCATTGCAGCGTTATTCACAATAGCCAAGACTTGGAAGCAACCTAAGTGCCCATCAAGGGACGAATGGATAAAGAACATGTGGTATATATACACAATGGAATACTACTCAGCCATAAGAAACGATGAAATCCAGCCATTTGTGACAACATGGATGGACATTGAGGGTATTATGCAAAGTGAAATAAGTCAGAGGGAGAAGGTCAAATACCGCATGATTTCCTTCATTAAGTAGTAGATAATAACAACAATAAACAAACACATAGGGACAGAGATTGGATTGGTGGTTACCAGAGGGGAAGGGGGGAGGGAGGAGGGTGAAAGGGATAATTCGGTACATGTGTGTGGTGATGGGTTGTAATTAGTATTTGGGTGGTGAACATGATGTAATCTATGCAGAAATAGAAGTACAATGATGTACACCTGAAATTTTTACAATGTCATAAACCAATGTTACTGCAATAAACAAAAAATTAAACAAAAAAAGAAAATACATCTATTTATTGCCTTTATCAATGAAAGAGGGTTTGTCTAATTTTAAATACCTACATCATAAACTAGTTCCCTTGCAGAGCTTGCAGATACATCTCCAAGTTCTTCTGGAATATAGTGTTACGTAAGAAAAGTTAGAGTTTACTTTAATTTTGGTTCCTTTATTGGCAGACTTTTTTCTACTATCTGAGTGCTTATTGTTTAAAAACCTCATAATTGATACATTTTAAGACGGGGCTTTGCAGCTTTTTTTTAATGCTTTTTATTAGAATTTGTGAGCCTTTCCAATCCACATACTTGGACTTCTTTCAACAGAGGGTCATTTTCTTCCATTACATTTTTAATATTTATTCAGTTTACGTTATCTTTGTTGGTTCCTTAGGAGTACTTACAGTTCTTAGCTTCAGTTTGTAACTCCATTTTCTGCCCTCCGTGCCCATGACCTTTCCTTTTCCATCTTCTTGTCGTTTTACTCTGTTCTAGAAAAACTTCTCAAGTTGGTTCTCCACGTGAGTATCTGCAGTGTGAGTGTACTCTTTACTCCCTCAGCATGGAAATTTTATGTTCTTGTTTTGCTTTAGTTCCTTACCACTCTTTACCATCTCTCTCATGTCTATTTCAATCTCACCTCACGTCTTTTCATCTTGGCTTGCTCTCTCTTAATGGCTTTGTGCTCTTGTTTCATAAGTCATGTTTTCTTGCATCCTATTCTTATTTTTATAGGCTTCATTGATGCCTTTTGTGATTGTTCATTCCTTTTTTTTTTCCTGAGGAAGATTAGCCCTGAGCTAACATCTGTGCCAATCTTCCTCCACTTTATGTGTGGGTCGCCACCACAGCATGGATGACGTGTGGTGTAGGTCCGTGCCCAGTATCCAAACCTGTAAGCCTGGGCCACTGAAGCAGAGCATGTTGAACTTAACCACTACTCCATGGGGCCAGCCCCTGATTGTTCATTCTCAACAAAGAGCACATGTTCAGATTTGGGGTTTTCAAATAGGCAGAGTGTGTGGATGGCTGACGTTTTCAGAGCCACCAGATTGCTGTCCATGCTTCTCCCAACAACTTACTTTCTAAAGAGATAGGAGCTCTGAGAAAATGACTATTCAAGAAGGTTGTATTTGATGAGAGACTAGCCATGCGCACTGTCTCCTGGGAGATACAGTTCACAAAATAAACGTCATACTGTTTAATAGACCCTGTAGTACACAGTAATTTGTAGATTGTGCATTGTAATTTTTCATGAGTTCCATCTTTCCAGAAAGTCAAAAAGGTAAATGGCTTGAGGGGAAAATATCTCATTTGAATTCAGCAAATCTTTCCCAAGAGAAAGTTTGCCAATACTGGGAATTTTTAAAAAGAATTATCCACCTGCTGCCCAGCTATAGATCTGGAAATAGTTTACCAGACATCAGGAAACATAAAATAAAACTGGACTATAAATAAATGAGACTGGCATCTTTTCTTGTTCATTAACACAAATATTTATTTTATAAAAGTTAAAAAGTGACTAAAGAAAATGTAGAAAATGCATAAAAGTAGAAAGAAAAAATTATCCATAGTCCTACCATCCAAACACAACTACCACCATTAACATTCTGTAGATTTCTTTCCAGTTTCTTTTTTTAGGGTGAGGGGGAGTTGGGGAGGCGAGATACATATATCTCAGTATCCTACTTTTACAACTAGAACTATATCAAATGCATTTTAAATGTTATTCGTAAACATAATTTTTAACGGCAATAAGTTCCATCAAAGTGATGTACCATAGCTACTTTGGCTGATTCTAATGATTCACCATTAAAGAAACTTGAAACAAATATTTGTAATAATTTTATTATTACAGAGTTCCAAAACTAGTGTTATTGAATCAAAGGGCATAAACATTTAAAGTATCTTAGTATGTATTATACATAGCTTTACAACAGTACAGAACCAATTTATAGGCCAATCAGCAAAACATGAATATGCCTATCTCATCTTGTCTTTACCAATATCAGATATTTTCATTAGTTTTATGCTTTGGTTGGGTTAAATTTTTTTTTATATTGATTACCAATAAAACTATTCTCTCCATATATTTGTGTACTAATTGCATTTCCTCTTTGGGAAAATACAAGAGTGTGTTTTCGAAAGATAGATACTCAAAAGAAAAATGAACATTATTTATCTTACCAAGACAATTTTGAAAGTTTATGGTCATTACACAAAGTCAAATTCCTGGTTTCACCATTCTCAGAGCCTTTTATTCTCATTTCTCATCACTCTGCCACCCATAACCACTATTTTCCAGTTAAACCAAGCAATTTGCAGTTTCTCATATAATCCATGTGCTCTCAACCCCATCACTTTGCACATGCTGTTCCCTTGCCTGGAATGTCCTTTACCTTCCCTCAAACACACACACACACGCACACACACACACACACACATACACACATATACACACACAGAGCCTGTGGCCCTTCCCAGGCTCCAAGAGTACCTTGTTGTGTCCTTTCTCATAGCACCTAATGTCCTGCATCATAATCATTAATATTCGTTTTAGACTTTCCCACTAGCCTGCAGGTTCCATGAGGCCAGGGACACCTCATCTGTGATCTCTCGATTCCACATCATTTATCGTCGTGCCTGGAAGAAAGTAGAAGCTCAGTAAATGGTTCTTTGAATATGGACAGCCTTGAATAATAAACACAGTTGCCTTCCTGACCGTAGAACTGAGTGTCATTCCCAGTAATTGCATGACTTTGAGGGGCAGCTTGTTTGAGTGGAAAGAATATAAGCTTCAGAGTCACCCAAACCTAGGTTCGAACTCCCAGCTCTGCCACTAATTGGCTCAGTGTCCTTGGAATAATTACCTAATATTTTTGAGACTTTATTGGAACAAATGGTGATCATAAAACATACCTTATAGCATTATTTGAGTGCAAATGAGGTAATTAATATATGTAAAGAATCTGGCACATAGTGGTGGCTCAATAAATAGCAGACATTTTTCTAGTTATTGCTGCATATTTCCGTTCCATGTATACTTCCATTATAACAAATAGTAACAAATTCAAAGGATCTGATTCTTATGTTATTATTTTCCTTTGAATCCTCAAGGCCAAGAAACAAAGCCAATTGTACTGCCCATATTGTTGCTGCCTGGGCAAGAATACTCCTTTTAAGTGAACCTTAGAAAAGAATTAGTTATAATCACAGTTGAGAAAAGAAGGCCTACATTTTCCAAAGGCAAGACAAATAAAGTTCTCTGTAAAACAACACATGATCTAATCATCTACCACTTAATTTTTTTTTTTGTTTGCCCTATTAATATTGTTGAAGGTATTTGGAGACCTGAAATTACTATAAATAAAAGTACTGCTATCCCTGATGTCAAAAGAAAAGAACTTTGGGAACATGCTCTACTTTTCATTTCTAAAAATATATTCACTTGGGACACACTAGAGAAGCATGTGAAACCTTCCCAGTTGAAAATCAGACTTAAACCGGTGGTACGTTCAGCACGAGCGCGTGCACCCACGCGCGCACGCACACAAACACGAGTACGCGCACACACCAGACGCCTTCTGAGGCTCGGCTTCTGCTTATCACACAGCTGTAATCCATACGTGCCTTCTGTGTGCCTTCCTTGAGGCCAAAAGGCGTTTGCATCCATCTGCCAACCAGATAAATCCAGAGAAAAAAATCACAAAGACTACGCAAATGAGGGTGACACAAGTATTTGTGCAGAATAAATTTGCCAAGATCTTTTTCCTTCTACCCTTACCTAAAACCCCATCTCAAGCTGTTTTTAAGTCTCACATGCTGCCGTTTCCCTTCTAATGACAGCTCTGACCATCTGCCCCAGGACTTCGCCTTCTCAGGCCTCATTCCGTGCAATTCTACATGACTAAACGTAGGATGTGAAGCCTATAGTGTAGTGATCAGCACAAAAATGTGCTCGATACGTAAGTGTTTGATTTCTACCTCTCCAAATCCCTCTGAGCACTCGCAGGATCATCCTCCGCATCTCACAGTTCCTTCCACAGAGGATCACACTTATTGCCCCCAGCAGGGCTTCTCAGATGCTGAGAAATGCCCAGGAATTCTCCATTTTAGAGGTTTCTGGCTTCTGAAAATATGAAGAAATGCCAAAACAGATTTTCAAAAATAATACTACATTTTAAACTTTTACATGGAAAGAAAGAATGCTTCAAAATGCAGTATACTCCATTGTGATATTTACAAGGGAACTATAGGATTTGTAAAAAGATGCTCCAGCCAGTGTAGCCCAGGAAGACAACAGGAGTTTATGATGCATGTTACTTGTCATCTTCCAAATCTGTTAATCATGTTTTTGTCTGTGTGTAAAGCCTCATTTGGAAGTGACATTTGAAATATAAATTTCAAGTCCTTTGAAATGTAAACTCTTCATTTAAAAGGCCTTACTCCCATCCTCACCATAGTGCTTGCCTCCACGATTCTTTGGCAAGGAAACCACAAGCAAATAATCAAGGAGATGGGGTAAGATTTGCCCTGAAAAGAGGTAGAAAAAAGAGGCTTGAAGGAACCAAATGAGGCCGTTATAGCAAGATCTACTTACAGGTTGAACTGAGAGGAATTTCTCTCCACAATCTCCTGGCAACGCATTCACTGTCACTAAGGAGGCCTTGACACCTCCCACCCCCCAGTCCTGACCCCCTCACCCCTCACCCCTCACTCTTGGATAAGCAGAGTCCCACACCAGCCTCCCAGGAGGGTGAACTGGAATGAGATCCCTGGCAATCAGGCCAATGAATTAGCAGACTATGACTACGATAATTTTCTCCAGAATTCTCTGGCAAAAGTAAGCCCTTCCTCCTGCAGAGATGCCTCAAGAGTTTATAACTTGTAAACTGAGATTGTTTTTCTGAAGTAATTACAAGGCACCAATGAAGACTGAACACTGAGTTCTATTTTAAATGATGAACTATTTTAATTGCAAGAGAAATAAACAATAAGAGATTTAAAGTGATTATAATGACAGACAAACACATACACACTCATACACACACACACACAGAATTACACATTTATAACGGGAAACTACAGGTTAAAGTGTAACACTAAATATACACCAGGAGATAATCTATCCATGCTATTGTGGCATTGCAGCGTTCATGACATGGTGTGATTTTTTTTTTTATGGGTTATTGGAATTGTAGAAAAAGAATTATATACAGACAAATAGTATGGAGAAAGGCAACATGATGCAATAAAACAGCACAAGCTTTGGTACCCTCCTTCTCATCTTTTCTTCTCTCCTTAACTCTGTAATCTGGCTTCTAGCCCCATCACAGCCTAGCCCCCAATTTCCCTGAGACTGCTTTGTCAACAATGTAAACTCATCATTGCTAAATCCAAAGAACACTTTTCAGTCTGTCTTACTTGATCTCCCTCCTGCACAGCATTTGACTCTGTGGAAAACCCCCTTCTCTCTGTGTACTCTCATTCTTGGCGTCCTTGACATCATCTCTCCGGGATGTTATCTGATCACCTTGTACACTCCTTCTCAGTCTCTTTGCAAATGCTTCTTTCTTCTTGATCCCTTCAGTGTTGTTACTAAAGGTGCTACTGTAGGTTCCTTTTTTTCTTTCTCAGTGTACATTATCTCCCTGGTGACTTCATCCTTTCAAATGACTTCAAGTGCTTTCTCCTGGCTA